CCTTCCGTACTCTGGGGTGCATCTCATCAGGCCCCATGGACTTATGAATGTTAAGGTTCCTCAGACATTCAAGAACCTTTTCCTTGCTGACTGTGGGAAGGGCTTTGTCTCACTGGTCCCTGTCTCGTGGGCCAGCCACTTGAGAGCTGCCAGGAGAGAAGTTGCCACTGAAGACTGAGACAAAAAACCTGTTCAGGACCTCAGCCTTCTCCTCATCTGTTGTTACAAATTCCCCATTGCTGTTCTTCAGGGAAGGGATGCCTTAGAACCTGAAGATTTATGATTTTAGACTATCAGATTATGGCTTAAGTGAAGTACGTAGTTTAGCTGGATTCCTTTCCTGTGACTACTAACACAACATTAACAGTCTACTAAAAAATAAGCTAAAATTCACAACAATGCAGCTGAAGTACTCCAAGTCCATATATTCTGGAGCGCACTTAGGGATCTGACATATAAATAGTAGTTTATAAAACTACAGGTCCAGGCACCCAATCTACTGCCAGAAATTGTCATCCTGTAACACAAACAGGAGCAAATGTCTGCCTGGGCCACCTCTATCATTACAGCCCACAAAGTGGAGTACAAGCCCAGAATTTCATTAGTGGCTTAAGCTACCATGTCAGACTATGAACAAAGACAGCATCGTGGTTTGCTAACATGGATTTGCCACAGCTCCATCTGGCTGAGCTTACTCATGAAATCTATTAGATGTGCTCAGGTTATGCATAGAACTGAGAATTGAAAGAAATAAAAATAGATTAAAAAAAAAGCAACCTTTAAACAATTTCTAATACCTTTGCCAAGCATAACATGGTATCCAAGCTCCTGGAGCTGACCTTTGAATTTTATCAGAGGCATTAACAAGTATACATATAAATGTTTCATTACACACAAAACATATGCTACTTTTGAAGAGATAAATCTATGAGTCTTCCAGACTACAGTCCTGATTCCATCTTCCACCATTGCTATAAAAACTTGCATATCCAGCTGATTCCAAAATTACAAAAAACTCTGCTGTATTATGAAGATAAAACATTTATCTACACACATTTTCTCATTTCCTGTAACATTAAAAAAAGGTGTCTTTTGTCAAGTAAAAACTGACCTTAATGTTTGACTGTTAGGGGGGAAAAAAAGTATGTTACCTAGTTGTTAAGTAAGTTATCTTACTTAAGAGGACTAAAGGCCCAGCAAGTGAATGCAGTAAGAGTGTAATAGTAGAAGAGTTTCTCTGTATGGAATCCTGCCAAAATTATCCTTTCAGATAAATGGCCTGACAAAAGAGAACCATAAATAAGGTTACTCTTTCGACATCATAAAGTTGATGCATATCCTGCCCAAGCTAGTTTTGTATAAACCAGCAAATAAATCTAAGAGATAAATAAAATGCAAAGAGATGCTTTTATTTCAGATAAGTCTGCCTATTTATTCAGAAACCATTTGTGTGACCGTTTTTTGCCTATCCGAAACAATTTCCCTGAGTATGTGCAACTCAGATCCTTTTCTAGCCTTCATCTCTATAAATAGTGATTACTTCATATCTGGTACAGCGTAATTTTGGCTAACCAAGTCGAAGTGAAAAATACAGTTATTTTGCAATTGCATACAGGGGATTTTAGGGGCTTTTGTTTGTTTTGTTGTTTGGTTGGTTTTTTGTTTTTGGTTTTTTTTTTGTTTTGTTTTGTTTTGGTTTGGTTTTTTTTGTTGTTGTTTTAATCTTCTCAATAGTATAAATTGGATAATGAATAAAGAAGCCTGATGAGAGCACTTGCAATGTAGGGGTGAAACAGCACCAAGACCAAAGTGTTGAAGAAGACTTTGAAAAAGGTCAGAAGTCTTTTTTCATAATTTTGAAAAAAGCTTTCAGTACTCTAAAGCAGAAATATTTTTACCTATAGGCAACAGCAGCACATGTAGTATCTTTACAAAGAAATGCTTAAGCACATAGTCCAGGCATGCTCCAGCAGATTTATGGTTTAATCTCTCAATATGTCACATATTTTACACAAGTTTTTTCTTTTAAATACCGAAACAGAATTTAAACCTAGGTCAATTGACAGGGTATCAACAGCGCTGGGCAAAATCTGAACACATTTTACTTTCAAATTAAAGGGTTTAGTGACCTACCAAATCCTGGAATGCTTTTGAGACTGGATTTGAGACAGATTTTTTCAAGTCTGAGGTAGCTGTATCGCAGCAGGCAGTTCCAGAGGAACATCCAGTCCATTCGTGTGCGATGGTTCATGATAATGACACTCCTTTCTCCAGGAACAAATCCATCACCAGTGACAATGACCTTGGCACCAAACACCATTTCCAGCAAGGCCTAGAAATAATATCTCAATATTATGGCTTTACTCCCAGAAGAACAGCATTAGCTCATTAGCAATAAAAATTAATTTGAATTACATAATTTCACTTATTCACTCACATAATCACCAGTAAACAAACTTCTGATTGTTTTCTAACAAAGCAACCAGCTTTTCCACAGTAAGTCAGCTATTTAATGGAAGAGGAAACAACTACTAAATAGTACTGTTCAAAAAAGCACTCTTTTACAATTGATGTCCAACTTTACACTTTTCCCTATTTTTCTCAGAATACTATCATGTAGGAATAAATGCAAAGGAATCGGTACAAATTACAATTTTGTAGGCAATCTGAGGAGAGACTGGCTGCACAAATAATCTGTTGCTCAATATTGTCAGGTCTGGGGAGGCATCAGAAGCTCCCTGCAGAAATAGCTAGAACCTAATGGGAGAAAGAGTAGCTGAGAGAGAGAAATCCCAAACAGGCTTGAACACAGTATGGTGATGCAGACCTAGGTCTGTACAGCTCTAAAGTGCTACCCTGAAGCCTGGGGCTCCACCCCACAATTAACAAAAGGCATCAACCACCAAACACTTGTACACAGCCATCTACAAAGAGTCATCCCAAAGCACGGAATAAGCCTCAAACTTGGAAGGACACAAACAAGAGGCTTGGCAAACAGCTTTCTCCACTTTGCGTTAACAGACAGTGATGCTAGTTCACATATAAAACATGCTTCTTGCTTTACCTGCTATATATGGCTCTGAAGGGACAAGTTACACATCACAGGCCAGTGGTTTAGCAGAAGGAAAAAACAGGCAAGAGCACCTCCTCAAGTTTACAAGGGCCTGGTTTCGTAACCTGGACAGTTGGACCATAAATGTGTAACTAGACCAGTTGTATATAACATCAGAGCCCAACAGCAAGCTCTGGCCATGTTCACACCACATCCAAACCGTGTACTGAAAATGGCTTCTGGCCCATGACCATTCTCAGGTCATGCAGGTAAGTGTATGAAGGAGTGCTGGCTGGTTACAACAAAAGACCAGGACAAGGCAAATAATTTAAAAATATGGTTGACTGAAAGCTAGTGCCTTGAAACGTTTTAATGCCTTGTGGAAACGCAGTGGGGAAAGGTATAAAATCCCAGGAAACAGAGCCAAGCAACAGATATTACCTAGAGGAATGACTTGAGGCCCTAAGGTCAAGGCTACTGGCAGGACACTTTCCAACCCAGTTAGCACAGAAAAAGAAAACAGCTGTGTCCAAAACACAATTGGACATCTAGAGGAATAAACACAACATTTGGCCTTAACATAAAAAAAAAAATGGAAGCACTTCAAATTACCTCCTCATCTCCTCTTCTCCATTTATCCTCCAGAAAAACAGAGGGAAATAAAATCTGGGGACTTAAACTGAACTTTAGCAAGTAAACCAACTTTTTGTACTGTTCATATTTCTGCCATCTCTGTGCTACAGAACCTCAAAGAACACAAATTTCTGAGTTTAAGTCACCTATAAAACTGGAATGACATGCTCAACCCCAAAGGGCTTCCTTTAAATCTCAGAATAAAAAGCATTTATATGTGCCAAATATTAATACTATTGGTAACTCGGCTCACTGTAATGCTGGCAAAGGTGCTGCTACCAAGAGTAACTATGGACGACTGCAAAAGCAGAACAGCTTGTATAATTCAAAATGGTAAACAGTTCTCTTCAGAAAAGGGAGAAGCAGCCTTAATTTGATAATTTAATAAGAATCTTACTAAATATTTAACATCTAGTTAAATATAATAATGAACAGATGTCCCCTTCTACATACCCTAATGCTAGTAGTATAAGCCAAAATTAACTGAAACAGTTCAGACCCACCTCACTGTCCCATCCTGCTGACTATGCTGGAAAGACAATACGTGCCTGAGAAGTGAGAAAGGTGGAAGTTTCATATATCAGAGGTCAGGGTCAGAGCTTCCCTGTTGGAGTCCACAGTTTGTTTGAAGACACAAATCCAAGTACCTGCTTCTCCTGACTAAGAATGGAGTAAGCATAAGGACACAAAGCCAATCCAGACAAGGCCTGAGCATCAAAAAGGCTGGGTGCAAAATCTTTTTGAGATCCCTTTCCTGAACCTAAATCCCCAAGATTCTTAAAAGACAGAATGTTTTTCACAAAAATACTGATATTATTTTGTTTTAGGTACAGTGTGGGCTGAAATCAAACTTGTAGATTGCAAAAGTTATCACAAACCAGTTGTAATAATCCAGAATTGTAACACTTAAGCAGCTTATCAAGTAAAAAAACAGTATTTGATTTTGGGGAGTTCACAATTTTAGAAAAATAGGAGACAGAGAAAGGGTTGATTTTGTCACACTATCACTACTCAGCTACATTTCAACATGACAAAAAATAATAATCCCTCTGTTCCCTTTACTAGCAATTATTTCTTCCAATTTCATCACATTTACTAATGATGAAAAGGACAAAGATTTTAGAATATGAAATAGCTCACGCCCTTTTAAAACACACAAGAGAAATAGAGAAAGCAGAAACTATTTGATATGTAATAAAGATAAATCTTCCTTTATACCACAAGATACATATTTATACATGCCAATACAGCATTTTACTTCAGGAAAGTTAAACAAATCTTTCAAGGCCTAGAGGAACAAAGTCTCTGAGAACGGATGAAGAGACAAATCCCATTCATACCACCTTTCCTCAGGAACAATTCAGGGAAGAGCTTTGTTACTGACTTCAAAACTCCTCTAGCTATAAAGTTGATGCATGGTAAGAGAGGAAGACTTCATTTCTAGGGGAAGTTCTTTTTCACTTGAAATCATTTATCTCTAATTCAACTACAAGGACTAAATTCTAAGAGGATTAAGTAAGAGAACAATGAAGGTCAGCAACAATGTACCAGACAGTTAATAATTTGCCTAATTAGATAGCTGGAGCACAGTCAAAAGGAAGAGTTTATAAGACAACTCATTTAGGAAGTTTGTAATTTAAAAAAAATCCTTCTGCTTACTAGTGCTTTATCTCCTCTTCCCTGACCAGCATCTAACCAACACTGAACAGAGATGTGACAAAAAGGCCTTTTCAAGACTACAGCTAAGACATGGCATTATCTTACATATAAATTAAACCATGGAAGAAGAGAGGGGCTGTAGACAGGCACGCAGGCTGCAACACTAAGCTAGAACCTCAGTCTCCACAGACACTAAGTGCATTAAGGCCTTTTTGGCCAAAACCAAAAAACTTTTTAAAAAAATAAAATACAATCAAAAGCATTAGCAAACTAAATAATGAGATCATGAACAGGTGCCCAGAACTCGGCTCAAACTGCAACTTACCACTGGGAGCGTGAGCCAAGTGGCCACAACACAATCGGTGATCCAGCGATACCAGGCCGGTGAGATAAACATCAAAGGTAGAAAAGGACCCAGCATGAATATGCTTCCAAAAAAGCTTCCCAAGAATAGTGCAAGTACAAAGTATATCCCTTTCCATGACACCATGGCTCTGAAAAAGAAAGTTGGCAATATGTTAGAGAGATAACCTGCAAGTAATTACATAACTTTTCAAGTCTGTAAGTCCAGTCTGAGGTGCTATTCCTCCTTTCTGTTCCACGGCTAACACCACATGATGACAGTTAACACAACCAAACTGTTCTACCTCACAAGCAGCAGTAAGAGAATGATTATAAAGACAGTAATTTGTAAGAAGCATTGGGATATTAAAGGGGTCATAACAATATCAGCTACATCATAATTTCCTCCACTTATTACAATATGTAGTTCCACTCTAACATCTTCAGCAAGCTATTTTTATTATCCAAAGGTACAAAAGAGCTATATAAGAGAACACTTGTATTAAACTTTTCAGCTGCTACCTTTGTCATTGGCAAAGTAGTAATGTTAGCATTTTCTGAAGAGAGGAAACTTTGCTTTTCTATTTCTCCTTTTTGTTTCTTCCTGCTAAACACAGTGTTGCAGAAACTCATCTTCCCACCTGAAAAGGGTTTACATGCAGCCTCCTTCAAAAACCACTCAAACCCTGTGAGACTGATCAGCCATTTCAAACACTAGTTCCCTTTTCATCACAACAGGGCAGGCAAGCAGCAGCTAAAGCCTCCCGATTCACCCTGGCTTAGAGAATTTGACTTTTTGAAGTCTGCTGTCCTTCAATTGTCCTCATCTGTTTTCCAGCTTCTTCCACCAAAAAGCCAATAACCTTTGGTTTTTAAGACAGTAGTCTAGACTTGAAATATTTCAGTGTCTATGCTATCAGCTAGACTTCTTTATTATAAATTGAAATGTACAGCGCATGGAGCTTCCTAATGCGCTACAGCAGAACACTCAGCAATATCTCTAACTGCTACAAGCTTTCACAATTTAGTGACTGCTACCAGCTATGACAAAGCAAATGTGGAAATATCAATTCTCAAAATTAGGGCCTAAAAATAGACGGTTTTCATCTATTTCAGACTCAAGCAATTGTTTATAACATCAAAGGTTAAGTATAAGTCACTTTTCAGTCACTTTACCGAATTCCTTTTTTGACAGGCTATTTTAGAAATAACAGCTCAGATAGACAGGACTTCAGTAGAAGAAAAACAGGAAGCTGATGTTTTTAATTTTAAAACAAACAATGGAAAAGTAATCCATTAAGCTTTGTGTACTGTAACATACATGATTTATCTCAAGCATGTTTTATGCAATGTCCATAGCAATAATGTTTGCACAGCAAAGTACTCAAAAGTCAAGAAATGGCAACATTAACACTGCTGTCAACATGAAGTAGTAGAAGCAAATTGGTATGCAAAGTAACAAGAAAGTAGCTCTCTTCTGGAATACCTTTAGGTTTAAACAATTTCCTAAACTGTGCATATTTGGAGGAAGGCCAAGAGAAGAGGCCATGCAAATTTGCTAATGTAAGAAGGCTATAGGAAGCTGTATTTAGCCCAACTTTTGCATAGCAAAATAAGTAACACTAAATACAAATGTTTGCTGATAGCTGTATCAGAAAGATTTTAACACAATGAAATTAATATTCAAACAAATACACATTATTTACATCCTGGAGTACAGAGCCCCCTCTTTCCTGCCAAAAGCAGGAACTAAATAACCAGCTGTCCACATATGCATGCACTAAGTAGGATCAATTTTGACATATCAAGGGATCTTTGAAGAGTGCTGCAGTGAAGAAACAATGCTCCAGCTGCCTTCTTGTATTTGTTACTGTAAACCTGTATGGGGACAGTCTGAAATAAAGGTAGCAGAAAACAAAAGAGAAAAACCCAGGGAAGGGCAGAAACAACAAAAGAGCAGACAAAAGCATTAACAGCAGCAGGACTAGAAGAAAAGGCTGCCTTCTGGCATATTAAGATTTGAGACCTACTGCAAAAGGCAGCAGAAAGGATTAAAATTCAACGTGCTTGATCTAATCAAGCTTTTTTTTTTGAGCAACGCAGGAAGCAAAACAGCTGGAAACATCTCGGGACAGCTTTCAGATGGGTAAAACCCACTAGCAGACACAAAACATGAGTCTGTTTAGCTTCAGCCAGCGGATCCGGTCCTGTGCAGGACTGCTCAGAGCCACTGGCCATCAAGTCAGATGGAACAACATCCACCAGCCAGACACCCTGGCTCCAAGCAGCCGCTGGACACCACAGAGGCACACGTTCCAGTTCCAAACACCTCACTGCTGCAAACAGGTTAACCACAGAGTTCATGAGAGAAGTCATTGCTCTGTCATCCACCCTAGACTCTTCGGAAAGCAACATAGGTTACTTATTTACAGGCTCAGTTTTTCCACTGTTTACACTGGCCCTTCCCTCAAATTATTGGACAGACCCAAATATTTAAGAAAAAAATCTTTTCTGTGTTTTAGGTGAAAGACTGTCTTGTAAAAAGTACCTGAGTTTCAAAAAGATCTGGGGAATTTCTGAAGTTTCTCTTCCTCAGGCGGCACTCCAGCAGTATTTTCTTTAACATTATAATATATACACACAAGTTTTACACATACCGCATTCCACCAAGTTAAACATTCTAGTGTTTATTTCCATCATTTTGCAGCCACATTTTCAGTGAGACCTACCATATTTTACTTACTGCTTATATAATACACCATATATCTTTACACACACGCATTTATCTAGAATAATGGATAGACTGTGCCTCTGCATTACCTCCACCACAATAAAGCACATACCATGCAAAATGGTCTGAGAACACAAAAACAACTCCCTCAGTGAATTTGGGCAAAACTGCAAAATGAGAACCTTGAGATAGCATGAAGAACTTGGAACAGGGAGTAACCATCCAGCTGCCCTCTGAAAACAGTGCTCAACAAGCTCAGCGAGGTGAAACTGTGAACACACTCAGCCCATTTGTTTTTGTTTGTGGGTTCAGGAGGTGAAGTTACAGCCTGGACAATAGGTTTAGTGATATAAGATGCATCTGCCCCGCATATCAGTTGAGGAACATTTACATATACTCTTATTTAGCCAACAGTCAAAGATGGGTATTCAACAAACAAGTTGCTGGCCATGTTGGCTACCAAGAACATATGCCCTGGGCTAGTCAGCAATAGTGCTGGTGTTGCTCTGCATGTGTTCAGAGCAGAGTGGAGGCTGAAGCCACAGGGTGGGTTTGACACGCTCCCAGACCAGGTGCACTGCTGAGGTGATGTCCGTGCCTGCTCCAACTCAAGTGGTGCCACAGCCCTAGCCCCAGCCCCTCCTTGGTTAGGAATACAGCACACAGGTTTGTAAATTCTACAGAGCCAGCTCCAGTCAGACAAAATAATACACCACAACTTTGTATCTTACTAAAGCTTCAGTGCAGTCTGGGAATTGCCCTGTCTCTGAAGCTGTACAGTCATGTTCACGCAGTGCTGCAATTTGGCTAACAAACCCTTGTTTGCTTTTGCTCACCTCCATATCATCAACTTTTTCCCTTCCCAATAGCAACCACTCTCCCCATCCCACATCCCACGTTTCACTCCAAAGTAGCAACATCCCTCCCATACATACTACGTTTCACACACACCTCGCAACACCAGCTTGCTTGGGCTAGTGAAGAGCAGCAGCAGGTTCCAAGCAGCCTTTTACTGCTGAAAAGGAAAGCTGTAATGCTGAGACTGCATCAAATCCTGCCAGCCCAGGCCAGACTCTGCACGCTGCTGTCAACTTGTGTTGGCGCTACAGGAACTGTTGTACCCAGTTTAGAGTTCACAGACTCATTGAATCATTAAGTTTGGAGAAGACTTCTAAGATCATCAAGTCTAACCATCAACCCAACACTACCAATACCACTAAACCATGTCCCTGAAGTACCAAGTCCACACGTTTTTTGAATGGCTCCTATAGTGCCTCCACCACCTCCCTGAGCACCCTGGTCCAAAGCCTCACCACTCTTGCTGGAAAGAAATTCTTCCTAATATTCAATCTAAACCATCCCTGGCACAATTTCAGCCCATTTCCTCTCGTTCTCTCACAGTTGCGTGGGGAAGAGACCAATACCCACTTCACTCCTACCTCCTTTCAGGTAGAGAGCAATAGGGTCTCCCCTCAGCCTCCTCTTCTCCAGGCTAAACAATCCCAGTTCCCTCAGCTGCTCCTCAAAAGACTTGTCCTCTAGACCCTTCACCAGTTTTGTTGCCTTCCTCTGGACCCACTCCAGCACCTCAATGTCTTTATTATACATTGCATCAATCATCTGAGGAATTCCCAGACATCTACTACCGAAGACAACAGTGACTTGCCTCTATTATCATCTTTTTACACCTCTCAGTCCCTTAAACACCAATCTTAGAAACAAAGTGTCTTTATAAATATATGTCCACCATCCCAAATCTAAAACATGCATTCAACAGAAGTAACAGCTACAAATCAAAGCATAATACATACCTGCTGTTTCCATGCATGATTAAAAAACAACTATCTTAAAGGGCAAGGAGTCATTAGTAAGGCCTTGTAAAATGATCTAAAACATGAAAAATCTCAAAACAAAGAAAATCAGACCTGATTCATGCCAAAGACACCCAAGAAATGAATTGAAGGATTTGACAGCAAGTCTGAATACCAGAACCCAAGCACTTTCAAAGTGCAGAAGTATTCCTTTGCTGCTGCTGCCAACTATCTCTTCCTAATGCAGTGATCCTTCAGAGCACTGGACTTAACATGCATTACAGCCTTAGGGCATCTTAAAGCCACTTTCCATCTACTGTGTGGGTCAGAGCTGTGGGGAGGCAGTAAAAATTACTTTAAGATTCAGACTGAAAACTGCAACAAGTGAGAAGGACCCTCATACTGGTGTTGTAGTTCTTCATCTATATTGTGGCAGAACTCCAAGTTATTGGGGTACTGTACTTCACAGGTTCTTGTTGCCATAGCAGAAGGAAAACACGCTCTGTCTCCAGGTAACGGGAAACAGTAATTCTTAAAATACAATTTTTGTTTCTACATTTCAGTTAATTTTAATAATTCTTGGCTACAATGGGACATATTACTTTC